GGGGCGTGGAGGAATTTTTTTTTTACAAGAAGGATTTTAGTTTTTGCTGGGTGACTAAATTTATGCAAAAAGGTTCCTTCCAAATGTCGAGCAGTCTTGTTTTCTCACAGTACCAAATGAAGCATAGTCCGGGAACGTTTCCCCAACCACAACTGAAGTATCTGAATATTCAGACATTTAAAAATCTCTAGATATCTAGCTCTAGAAATTGAATTCGATGCAAAAACGCTTCTTCCTAGTCCTCGCAGAATGAAAGGATGACGTCTATAGTGCGGTCAAAAATTCGTGTTGCGACTTATTTTCAAACATCTCCTCAACTATCGAACATAGACATCTAGGTTCTCCAATTTTTTGCACAGTGACTTGTATCAATTTGCCTTAACAGATCAACATTTTTGTAAACACTTGCAAGCTGTATTCTAGAAAATTCCTTAATAAATATACAAAAAAAAAAATCCAAGTGGGTGGTTTCTACAGATTTTTTAATGTTTACAGCTGGAGCAACATCAGGGTTGGGTTGATTTAAATCAAGTCGATTTAAATCAGTTGATTTTTTTATTTAAATCAACTTGATTTTTTAAATACAAATCAGTGATTTAAATCACTTTTTAAAAAATAAATTTTTATTCAGTTTTTACTTATTTCAACTTTCAGAATTCCTTTCCCTGGTTTCATAAAACAGAGATATAAGGTTTAGTAGACTAGATCTAATATAATCATGCTTAAAAGTCTGCTTTCCCCCCTCTCACTGTAAAATAATACAGTATTCAATTTACTTTTTTTTCCATAATTGAAATCAGAGCTGGGTTGATTTAAATCTGTTAATTTTTTAAATTTTAATCAACTTGATTCTTAAAATAAAAATCATTGATTTAAATCACTTTTTAAAAAATGTATTCAGTTTTTACATATTTAAACATTCAGAATTCCTTTCCTTGGATTTATTAAACAGATATAAGGTTTAGTAGACTAATATAATCATGCTTAAAAGTCTGCTTTCCCCCTTGTCACTGTAAAATAATACAGTATTCAATTTACTTTTTATTCATAATTGAAATCAAGGTTGGGTTGATTTAAATCAGGTCGATTTAATTGATTTTTAAAAATTTTGATCAACTTGATTTAAAAAATAAAACTCAGTGATTTAAATCACTTTTAAAAAATGTATTCTGTTTTTACTTCTTTAAGCATTCAGAATTCCTTTACTTGGTTTTATAAAACAGATATAAGGTTTAGTTGACTAATATAATCATGCTTAAAAGTCTGCTTTCCCCCCTGTCACTGTAAAATAATACAGTATCCAATTTACTTTTTTTTCATAATTGAAATTAGCATTTTCTTTTTCTTTTTAGACAAACACAAGCGCGCGCACACTCACACACACACACACACACTGTAATAAAATGCAAGTTTATCTATGCATAATTACACCCCTCCCCTTCCTTTTAGACTGACATTTTCTTCATTTTTTGTCTGTAGCCATAATTCACTGACAGATTAAGGCTTTCTTTTGCAGTTACTTAAATTAATCATTAGTTAAAATAAAGACAATGCATTTTGCTCTAATAGAACATACTTTTAGCCACCAAAAATCCCAAAGTGTTTCGACATTTTAAAAGAAAATTTAAAAAAATCCGATTTAAATTTAAAAAATCTTATTTAAATTGAAAAAAATCGATTAAAAAAATTTTTATTTTAAAAATCAAAAAAATCCCCAACCCTGGGCAACATTGCTTTTAATAGCAAGTCCGTCACGGTTTTCAAATTGGGACATTATGCTTATTGAACGCATTTTTTGAGAGCCCACTTTTCTACTTTTACTTTTTCATCCTCTGTTGACGTTAAGTGTCGAGGGGAGATGCAGTTTTCTATGGTAGGCCAGCTCCGCAGCTCTTTCAGTTGTGATGTTATGTTTTCTTAGGGTTTGCTTGACACCCTCGATCCTCCTTTTGCGTGGCCTTCCTCTTCCTTTATAGCCTGAGTGCTCTCGAGGCTGGCTGGTCGGGTGACAGGTGGCCATACCATTTTATCCTCTGTCTTTCTATGTAACGCAGGCAGGATTCAGTGCCGATAGCTGCTCTTAATTCTTCATTTCTCTGCCTGTCTCGTCTTGTGATGTTAAGGGTTTTGCGGAGACATTTCATTTCGCTTGCAGTGATTTTGCTTTCATGGGTTTTGCCTAAGGTCCAGGTCTGGCACTGATAACATAATGTTGGTTTGAATATTAAGGTGATAAGCTGTCTCTTTGTGTCCATGGAGATGTTTGGATGAGATAGAATGGGTGCGAGCTGGTAGGTGACAGCGTTGGCTTTATGAGTTCGCTTTTCTATTTCTCTGTCTATGGACTTGTTTTCAGAAAAAGTGCTGCCAAGATATTTAAACTCTTTTTCCTGTTTCAGTTGTTTACTACTGACATAGATGTTCAGGGGACTATGGTTTCG